CTGTAGGAGAACAACACCACCTCCAGGCAGCACGCCATCAGGGAACAGTGGAAGATGTCCTGCTCGAGTAAAACCTGAGAACACACACAGACACACTCACATCAAGTACAAAAACACACAAGTTTTCATGAGGGAGTCATAAACAGTCATAAACCCATACAACACAGATGTCTGTTAGAATGAGAGAGCGAAAGAAACAGACAGTGAGACATCTTGGAGCTGATGTAGATACTTGGGAATAAAAATAAACAAACTACAGGTAATTTCTGAACATTTTTCTTGTGTGCGAGTGATGGTAATGTTTGGCCTCATTGGTGAATGTCGTAGCTGCTTACACTCATGTCTCTGCCGTGCAGCCGTTTGGTCTCCTGAACTATGACATTCTCCAGGATCTTGTAGTACAGGATCTCTGCCAGCTTCAGACGGTTCTCTGCAAAGTCTGAAATGAAAAAAACAAAGGAATCAGGAGCCTAATTCTGAGGTTCTCAAAATCTGTGAAGCTGCATCGGATTCAGCGACGAGATGAGACAGCTGCTGGTGGAAACACGAGAATTAATCATGCAAAACAGGGAAAGTTCTAGTTCTGTAGGTTACTTTGGTCCATTATAAATTCAGGCTATGTCACCACCAACAGTTGATCTGTGTGCGTGTGTTTGTCGTACCTATATGAGCACCAGGTGTGTCGTCGGAATCGTTGGTGTAATGTTCTTTGAAGGTTTGACCCAGAGTCTTGACTCGAGCCAGTATGGACTCTGTGGGATCTCTGGAGCAGGACCTTTGATACCAACACAGGACACATTGATATAAATATATATTACATAATGACTAAAACCACTCATTTAAAACTCCAAAAAATACAAAGAAAATGTGTCTACTTGAACCCCTCTGAACCATTTTTTCTCATTGTTGTTATCAGCTGTGGCCACTTAGAAAAAATGTTGCACGTGTCGATTCCAGATTGTTTCAAATAAATAATTAAAGGTGAATAATCAAAGAAGTCTAAGCACTGACTTGAAGATCTGCATCAGGTGGTCGCTGGGCGCCGTCCTCAGACCGGCCACCATGCTCTGCAGCCGGCCGACACTCTGCGTCGCCGAGGAGACGGGCGTCACGAGCAGGTCCTTTTCCTTCAGATAGACCCGTCCTGTCAGAGGAGTGGAGGGGGCGAGAGAGCCAGACTGCAGACAGAGAGGTTGTTTTTTTAATCCATGTTTCTGTGAGTCTTTACACCATCTGTATTTACTTTATAAAGTGAAGCCAACAGTCTGTTGTTTAGTTAAGGCTGTATGGTGCATTATCCTGCTGGAAGCAGCCATTAGAAGACGCCATGAAGAGATGCACACAGTCATTAGCAACACTTAGTCAGGCTGTGGCATTCAGACCATGACAGATCAGTAAATCCAGAACAATTACGCCAGAGTCAAAGTCTCTGAGATCACAGTTTCTCCACATTCGGATGTCTGATGTGAACGTGAAGCTCCTGATCTGTATCCACAGGCATTTATGCACATGATGGCTGATTGAATAGGTGTTCCTAATGCAGCGTTCAGTGAGTGTCCGTGTTGGTACCGTGGATCTGTGTGTGTGTGTGTGTGTGTGTGTGTTTTCACCTTCTCCACATGTTGCTGCAGCTGGCTCTGAGCAGCTGTTTGGCTGGTGGTCATTTCCTGAATGATCTTCCTTGGAGTTCCAATTTCCTCGTCGGCATCGGCTCCCAGAAACACTCTCTCATCAAAGTCTCCCACCGTCAACACGTACTCCTCATACTCCCTGTTTATGGCTTTACTGCAGACCACACACACAGAAATACTGTTACACACTACAACACTGAATGAGCCACAATTATACTGTTCTCAAAGCTTTAACAAAACCTCACAAGGAGTTGGAGACAGAAACAGAGAGATGGCAAAGGGCAAGAAGCAGAGTTTCCTAGAAGTGACTCTGTGTTCTTGTTGCTTACTTGTTATCAATGAAGTTCTGAGGATCCAACATTTCTGTCAAGAGCTCCTCGTGTCCTTTCAGAATCTGATTGTTAAAAAAAAAGAGAGACAAAAGTAAGTAAACAGGAACACACTAAAAGTAGGATATTTGTTTTAAAAGGAAAACAACAAAAATCTGGGACGATCACCAAGTGATCACAGCAGAAAGAAAAAACGAGGGAAGGATGAGCGGATAAACCAGGAAACAGTCTGAATGACTTTACAATTCTGTTGGTGTTTACGTGACAGCACCTGTTTCTGGAAGAGCTTCTGTATGTACGGTTTGAAGTAGTGCTGCTTGATGCCTTTGGCCTCCACCACCAGCCCGTCGTGCAGCTCACAAAGCCTCTCCAGCACACACGGAGGAGGCTCGTCCGAGGAAACATGGCCGTCAGCGCGGTACAGAGGAGGCAGACCTGCACACAGACACAACAGGAAGCAACCAAGGTTCACTTCTTACTGGGGTGTATCAAAGTAACTTATGGTGAATATGTTTGAGATAACAGAACAATGCATATAAAACCACCGCCTAGAGACCAATCAGCTGTCTTGGAAAATAGCATCAGCCTATGTGGGAGTTCCAGCAAAGCTTGATGTACAGATAGTGAGAAGGGAAGTAAGTTTTTTTGAGCTGCAAATGATTTAAAAGCCATTTCATTCTTCTGTTTGTCTTAGTGATATAATCCTAAAACAGTGACTGATTAAAACTAATTAACCATACACCTAGTTACTTAAATTATTTGTTCTTTACTTGCTCCTACAACCGTTTAACACCACCAGGGTTACAGCTTAGAGAGTCCCAATTGCCCCTAAATGCTATAAAAATGAGATTCACTGTCAGATTTCTGAATTTATCCTCTACATCATGACAAGATTTGATTTATTCCATTACTTGATCATCTATTCTTTAAATATTTTGGGAATACATCTGTATTTAGTTATACAATCTTGTGATACATGATGATAATTAAATTCAATCTTAAATCTTGAATAAGGAACCTATATCTCAGCAACTTAAGCACAACTGTAATTATAGTCAGCTCTACTCAGACTTCAGTAACGAGGCTGTGATATTACTAAGCTTGTTATTAATTTATGCATTAGTAGACAGTTATTTGCTGCCTTTCCTTCCTGCTTGGGCTGCAGCAGTCCTGTTGCTTTTAGCTTGTATGATATTTTAAACTCCTCACGTTTGTTAGGAATATAGTTTGTTCTTCTTGTGAGAATATGTAGACCTATCCATGGTAGTGACTGCTCACCTCTTGTGTGAACACGCTCACAGCCAGATTCAGAAACGCTGACTCAATGAGATGATAATCAGCTTGGTGTGATTCTGATTGTCAGGTTTAGCGAAGTCACTAAAGTTAGATATTTGGACTTTTCGCTGTAAACCAACCTGCTAATACACGCACAGCCTCACCTCTGAACGTCGGGTTGATGAGGTCTTTCCTGTTGGCACACAGCAGAGCGTTTCCAAACACCAGGTCCAGACAGCAGAGCAGCAGGTGGTACGAGTTCACCAGGTCGTCGCCGATCATACGGAAGTTACCTTCACAACCACAAATACATGAGGCACTGTGGAGAGTAAACTGTCCTCTTCCTAAAGCTGCAACAAGTTGATTATATGGTAAACTGATTAACAGAAAATGCCTATTTTTTACAGCTGATTAACTGTTTAAATCATTAAAAAAAATGCTTTCAAACCCTCAGATTTGAGAATAAGATGCTTTTCCTTGTGATATGTAAGAGACACCTGCATATCTGTGGTTGTGGACTGTAGATGTAATAAAAGAAATATCTCCCTCATGCTTCAGGAAACATTTTAGACAAAACATCTACACTGATGTCAGCAAAAACATGACAGAGCCACGAGCCCCCCAGCAGTCGGGTTTGTTTCATGGTACCTTTGGTGTAGACAAACAGAGTCCAGCAGAACTTGAACACATCACTGATGTGACAGGGAAGCCGCCTGTAGAGCCGGAGAGACGACACACAGTCTGTTAGACGGGGCACTTAATGAGACACCAAGTAAAAGCTTTCGGCTTCACAGCAGGTCAGAGTGTGTGTGTATGTGTGTGTGGTCAAGAAACCAAACCAAGCAAACCAGTCTGGCATTTGGCAGAGTTACTGCGTGCAGAATACGTCCGTGTTTACTCGCTCTAAGCTCCACAGACGCCTCCTCTCTCCTTAGTCTGCATTTAAGGAACTGGAAGAACCTCCATGATGGCGGAGGGGAGGGATTTCCAGGTGAGGACTCAGGGAAGCATAATGAAAAGCAGCCATAGTCCACACGCTGCTGCATGTTGTTAAATAGAGCAACTTTTAGTATTGTCCATCAGCTGTTAGCCACGTTTAGCTCTAATATACAGACATGTTTAATCAGCTGCCCAACACAAACGCTCCTCAGTCAACAGTTTTATGGCCAGGAAAACAATCCAGACTATAACATAGTCTTTACACAGTTTTACACTCTTGGAAACAACAGTATTGTTTACGATTTAAATCAGTAGATTTTAGGGTGAAGCCTTGGTTTGAAGTTAGAGTTAGACAAGCAGCAGTTATGGTAGGTCTTCATTAGGTTAACATCAGTCAGTGCAACATCCTCTCTAGTGTTTGTGTGTCTGTGTGTGTCGTGCCTGTGTTTCCTGCTGCGTGGCTGTCGTGGCGGCTCGGCTCCCTGCGGATTCTGAAACATGTCCATGAAGATGGGCTCAAACTTGCGGAAGATCACGGTGGAGACCTCGAAGTTTCGCTCCAGTCGATCCATTCGTAGCCTGAAGTCCTGCGAGAGGTTGGACATGTCGGCCCACTTCCTCATCTTGGAGAAGAACTGGATCAGACTGAGAGGACACAAGTGTCAAACACTGTTTATATAGAGCAACCAGCTTTCTACTGTAAGAAAATCTAAACAAGGTTTTTCCTGCAGTGAGGAATTTTTTGCAGCATCCTAAAAGGTTTGAGCAGGCAAATAATGACAGAGTTGAGAATAAAAATGGAATGTAACAGTTCTGATATTTTGGGTTCCAACTGCTCTAGCATTATTGACATTTCTGTTATTGTCCAATAAATTAAAACAGACTTATTGACTTTACTGTATGCCAACAATCCTGCTCACTGCCGTGTGTAGTCGCCCTCAAAGACCCATTCTGAGGTCAGAAAAACCCACTGGTATTTTTCAGGAAATCAAGACCGAAACAAATCCAGGTGTTAAAGAATGAGAAGTCTAAAAATGAACACAGCAGCTGGGCTGATTCGGTTGTTTTTATTTTACAGCTTGAGGTCAGTGACTAAACAGAACAGTCAAAGAAGTCTTCAGTGTGGCTGCATTTTGTTCAAACAGGTGGTCAGACAGTCGAGTGTTAACTTTACAAACTGCAGTTTATACATTACAGCGAAAGAACCAACATGGCAGATGATCTAAAAACAGCAGACTGACTTGTCTGTGTTACATTCCTCAGTAGTTCTTGTGTTGGATTACCAGTAAATATAGTTCTGTTTTCAGAATTCATATGAATAAGGGCTGGTCTGCTCTGAGTCTGTTTCATTTCCGTATAAAATAACCAGGTTCAAATGATTTAATATGCTACAAATACTAGCTTTTTATGTGAGCGTATAATTAATAAAGGCTATTAAGGCAATAAAGGCCAGCAGGTGGAGTACACTCAGAGCACTGTGGAACATTTAGTTCATCTACAGATAATGTGTTGATGTTCTTTTTCCCGCAACCAACTGACTGGCTGAAGTGTACGTATGATTTCTTTCGACTGCAGCCCTATAAACCACTAATGTTAGCTTGCTACAGAAGCAGTTTTTTTGCTTTCTGTGTGCGTTATTCAGCAGTAACTCGGGCACTTTACTGAGGTTTATTAAACATGAAAGCAGCAGGAGTCTAGACAGAGCAGTAACACCTGGCTCACAGCAAACTGCAACCGTTAAAATAATGTTTCTGGAACATTAATACAAGCCAACATTCTTGTTGATCCCCAAAATAAAATTATGGACTTGTACATATGGCATATATATATTGTAACCCGAGGCAGCTACGTGATACAGAAAAAGAGGGGAGACAAAAACAGAGATCGACTTTGTTCACTGGCTCTTGTTTCAATAATTAACTGACTAACTGGTGACATTTTTCAACTCACTTTGGCAAAGTCTGTTCAGCCTCTTATCTTCACCATCAGCTATCTCACACTAGTTAAGCCTAAACTCAAGGTTTATTTGGCACACTGATGTCGGTATTTTTTCAGTGCCAGGTTATCGTGTACAATTCTGCACTGCTGTGGACTCTGAGGTCCTGCACAGCTGCCGGCATCTGACCTGAGTTTGGACGATCGAAGGATCCTGGTGAGGGAGACGCAGTTTCCCTCCATCAGTCCTTTGCCCACTGTGGGAGTGGAGCCCTTCCTGCAGGCTGCATACAGCGAGCAGGCCAGCCAGTGGACCACCTCCCCCTGCAGAGACACAGCGACACACCAGGTAAACAAACACTGGGCTTTACCTGCGTTTTGCATCTTCAGTTTTAGGAAATTTCAACAGGAACATGAAAGGTTACACAACATAATGATTCATGTAAAAACATTTAGTTAACAGCAGAAAATATAGATGGCTATTTTGCCAGTGAGCCTGTTGAATGCCCCAGTGACACTTAATTGTGCAGCATTTTAGTTTAGACACCCTGAAATACATTTTGATAAATAAAAAAAAAGCACAAAAGACAAGTATTTGCCCTTTTTGTTGGTTTTTAAAACAGAACTACCTGATTTTTTAGATGAAACAGATGATAAGATATAGGCAATAACAGAATCATTTTTTAAGAAAAAAAAAGTCACATTTTGCAGTTACATGTTTCTTAAATGTGTGTATTTTCTGCCTTTGTCTGCTTTACGCCACTGTGTAAGAAAGCCTTTATGTCAACTTTATGATGTTAGCTCCTGCATTTACCTTTTCAATCTCATCTTCTCTTCCTCTATGTTTTTGAGATTATTATAATTTTAATCACTATTATATTTTCCATCTGAAGCACTTTGTAATCTTGTTCAGAAATGTGTGGCACAACTCGGTTGTT